ATTTACATATTGATAACCATTCTCTAAACAACACTATGCTCCTACTAACAATGCCACTATAAATGTCTTCTTCTAACATTTCTATCTCTCCAGATCCCATTTATCTTTCCTTGCCTAATTCAAAAATTATTTTATGATGGCAAAAGTGACAGAGGGTACATGCTTAGCAGATTTGAGAGTCCTGATCCAAATTCCAAATATTTCAAGAAGCATCCCCTGATCTATTCACATCCACATAAATGGTTCCTAATGACATTTTATCCCTGTTGGCTTCCCATCTCTGCCTTTGCATCCTGGAAGGATTCCGAACAATTGGACTCATATCACAGGCATGTGTACGGAGACCTCATCCTCCACACTCTTAGAGAACCTCTTAGAGAACAGCAACCAATTCCCATCTGTATTTACAGCCACCATTGCTGTGTTGGCAGTGTTGGTGCTCAACACACATCACAGCAATATTTAGACAACGTCACAGCAATATATTCAAAACCCCGTTAGCTGCCACATAGGTGAGAGGAGTATGTGCATATTGTGGTTATAGTCACTGTGTAGAGACATAAACTTCTCAGGTTCCTTGAATCACAACTAGATTTATCTTTATTCCACATTTATGGTAAAGTCCAAACTTACCACCATACTATGAAAACAGATACTTCAGCACAAATGGCATCCCATAACATCACTGTCTTCTTGGGTTGCCTAGAATGGGCACAAGAACCATGATGGTCATGTAGTCACCTTAGAATCCAGGTTCCCGGATCTGGGTCCATCATTCTTCCCAATTTAGTACTCATAGGTTCTGCATGCCTACTTATCCCAGGATAACTTGTTGCTGAGTGGGGCTTGGCTGGAGGCGAGGGCTTCCTCTGCCGCAACACAGCATATTGGGAGTAGGTAGTGACACAATTCCTGTGGCCTAAGCACCTGCACGATCCCTCCTTGAAGAATGTTTTCAGGATTCGTGCATTGGAGTGATGTCGGACTCTAGACGGACGGCTGCTGTAAGATTCAGCTTAATAGTCCTGTGGTTTTGTCAGTTATGATACTTTTGTTGAGGTTGTTGTGTACCATGAGGAGCCACCTGGTGAGCAATCTCTTGTTTCTTGGAACCATCCCATCATGCATCACCTGGGTGCTTGGGTATGACATTTCTCTTTGGGATGGAAGCAAGACCCATTAGAATGATTAGGTGCTCCCTCCTCAGAGTACCCTGGAGTCACAAACCCAGCTCTATGACAGCATGTTCCACATCCTATGGCAGTCTTTCTTGCACTAGGCTCCTTTTTACAGACGTGAGCTCTGTGAAGCTCTGTGGGAGTGTTGTCCTGGACTCCCCCCAAAGTCTGACATGTGGGCTGGAACATGGAGATGCTCAGTACGTCCGTACAGAATTAACTGAAGATTAAGTGAGTCACCTTGCTGTGAAAAGCAAACTCAATGATACATTCAGAACTCAAGTGACTACGATAATTTCAAAGTTCTGTTAATTGGCAATTATAAAAGAGGATACATTTGTAATATACGTATTTCATTTTTATCTAGAATTAATTCAACACAATTAAATTAGAACTGGGGTCTCTAACCTATGGTGAGTTGTATAATTATTTCATTATATATTACAACATAATAGTAATACAAGTAAAGTGCACAGTAAGTGTTACGTGCTTGAATGATGCTGAAACCATCCTGAAACCTTCCCGCCCCTCCCTGGTTGATGGAAAATTTGTCTTCCCTGAGAATGGTCCCTGGTGCCAAAAAGGTTGGGGAACACTGAATGAGTGTAGAGAACTTTCCTCTGAGTAGCATTTAGGAAATAGAATCCCACTCTTTCAAGCATTTTTTATGATTTTCAGTTTGGAGACTGAAGAGATTTAAGTGGAGATCTTAGCATCAAATGTATAGTATTCTGCCTGAGGATATATTTCAATATTGGTTATGTTTTTCCAATGTTAGATAGTTGGGAGGTTCACACCTAATTCAATAACAATAACTATGAACCTACTTTTATTTCCTCTTTAATCAGTAGCTTTCATTGAAACTGTAATCCTCCTTTCATACTAATAATCCATGTATTTATGTTGCATATTGATGAATTAGGACATTACACTGTCAAGTCCAACTGGCATAAGCAAGATGGGAAATAGAACCAGTTATTCCTTCTGAGGCTGAGGACTTGGTGCTCTTGTGCCCAGGTGCACTAGAGAGTCAGTGAATGGCCATGAAGGCTCAGGATTTACCAGACATCAATTAAATTGTATCCTAGATAGAATGGACAGGATTATTTATAGAGCTAGTCTATTATTCAGGGTCTTATTGAAAAGATATTTGCTTTTATAATGAATTAGCACAGTGCCTGATCAAGTAACTAGAAACATTTTTTGAATTCATGCATAAATACATAGTCATGAATGACAGGTCCCACAAGGTGCCCTGAGGGACTTTTAAATCTTTTCTGTCTTCTTGGAGGACTCTCCTGGACATCCTTCGTGTTCCTCTGCAACATGCAGCTGAGAGAAAAATCCATCACTAGCCTTGAAAAGAGGTGGCTCGTGAGCAGTGTCCTGCATCCCCTGTGTTCCCCCTGCCCCTGTAGCAGTGAGCAGGCCTGCAGTGAAAGGGAGGAGCCTCTCTCACAGGACACTGACTGCTCTCCTGAGTGGGAGGTGGCTGCAGGAGCCACAGTGAGACCTGGTGACTCTTTTCAAGATGCTGGGGGACCCTGTAATTTTCAGGTGGCAGCTGCTTCAGAAAAATGTTAATAGTAGCTGAGCATCTTCGAAATTCCAAGCCCAGTCCCTAGCATTAGGGAGTCAATGACACAGTCTCTGTTCTAAGACACCTCACGGTTTTGTGGAGGAGGGAGACAGGGAGACTCATCATTGAGGTACAGTGTTCTCAGTGCTATAATAGAGGAACGTCTGGAGCCAAATTGGTTCTGTTTGGATTCAGGGCCTGGGCCTAAGCCTTCAGGGACTCTAAGATTTGTTGCAGGCACCCTGGAAAGGAATGTCCCTGGCATCAAATTAACCAGTTCCCAGGTGAGATTTCACTATAGGGTTCCTCATGATGGAGTACATCTTCAGCCAAAGCTGTAAGATTGTTGGTATGCCAGACTCACCGAGCTAACTCTCATAATAGTCCTTAATGTGACCTGACGACATGACATACAGTGTCTTACCTGGTGCACAGGTTGCAAGCACTGTCTTCCTGCCTCCCCCCACAGTAGGGAGCCCTCAGGACAGCCAAGTCCTACTGAGGCGTTTGAAAATCAAGGGTGTACATAGAGGTTACAAATCAGCACAGTGCTGGACATGGAAGAGGATTGCATCTGGACTCAGGGAACCTGAGTTCTCTATACTGACTATGTTATAAAAGCAATCAAGGAATTTGATTGGAAAATCTGAAAACCAGACTTTTTCATATCATAGCGTCCCTGTACGGTCTCCTGGGTACTCAGCTTATTTGTCATCTCCCCTCTGTGACAGTCAGTCCGAGGGGCAGCCACACTGCTTGTGAGCAGCAGAGAGCCTGCTGTGTCGTCACGACATGTCACCGTGGCCCCTTCTGTCTGCTTGAGTTCTTTGTGGAAACAGAAACCAGTGGCATAGATTAGTCCTCAACTCTGTGTTGATCCGAGTTTCCTTAATTAACCCTTTCAAAAATTATGGTAATATTTACATAACATACATGTGACTACTTTACCCAGTTACCTGTAGATTCAGTGTCCTTCAGTATACTTATAGTAAAATGTAACCATTCTCACAGTTTTAGGAACTTTTCATTATGTTACACAGAAATTCTGTATCCATTAAACAATGAGTATACATTCTTGCCTTACCCCATCCTCTGTATTTTCTGTGTGATCAGTTTTGTTAGTTTCCATTCCTCATAGGGCTTGAACTTACAGTATTATTCTTTTGGGTCGGCCTTTTTCACTTAGCACAATGTTCTCAAGGTTCATCTATGTCACAGCGTGTATCAGAATTCAGTGCTAACCCAACAGTATTATCAGTATAGTGTAACAGACCTGATCATGAAAAGGTTAGATGTTTTCATTCTTGATTCCATGGTGACAGGACATGGAACTAATTGAAAGTTACTGGCAGAACAAGTTGGCAAAAACTGGAAGTATACAGAGTTCTCTTACAAATAAAAGAAAGTTTAAGTTAATAATAAATGGTTCTCAAGACAAATTCCTCTCTGAAAACAATACTGAGGTTGCTGATGGTGAAGGACAAACTGGGGAATATTTATGGACTCTATACTGGTCCCCAGGTGCAGGAAGGCCTACATGACCACTCACAAGTTTTCCAGGGTAGGGGCCATGGTTTTGTTTACTAGAAACCAAGATGAACTTGTTACCATGTCATGGACAAATGACAGCCAATGGCAAATGACAAGCCATGGGCAAAGGATATGTTTCATACAACCAATTTCCTAAAATATTTCTATGAAGGCAGAGACTCTGTCTCTAAAGACATTACTTTTTCCAATACCTGAGAACTCCGATTTATGGGAGGCAGAGCTCACTCATTCAGAGCCAGCTTCCCCCCCTGCAGCATGGCCTCCCGGTCACACAGTGAATGTAATTTTCAGGGGAACATATTGTGAATGATAAATAAGGAGTCTTTATTCATACTGTCAGGTAGAAATCAGTTATAGAGAAGAGTTGTGTGGTTTGGGATAGGCATGCTTTCCACTGCAATGAAACTTGCAAAGAAAAAATGTTCAATAGAAAGATTCAGAGGAAGATAACATGAGAAGATTATTGGTAATGTCAGGAAGGATGGAGACAATGTACTTTCAGATAATACTTTCTCTGAGTAAAACTATAAAAGCCAGGTTAAAAAGAAATCTATCTGAAGGCACTGGGGAATTCCTGAGGCATTTCAGAGACACAAGGTTGAGAGAAATGCATGCAAAGGCGAAGCCTGCCAGACCGTGCTGCTGTCTGAGTCACGTGTGACTGCCCAGGGCAGAGGCTGCTCCTCCCTGGCCTATCTGCTTCCCGACAGCTCCAGGGATCCCTGAGGAAGGCTGCCCCCAGGTTCATCCACCTCAGGGGTGTCCTGCAGAGCCCGCTGGAGAACCTGCCGCAGGGTCTGCCGCCCTTGCTGCCGCCGCTGCCTAAAGGAGCCCACAAAGAAGTAAATGATGGGGTTGGCGCTGCTGTTGACAGATGACAGGAACAGGGAAGCTGCACGTAAATAACAATCTACTTCAAAATCACCCTGAATCCATGAGAGCCAGGCAATGCCCAAGGGCAGGGCACAGAGGAGGAAGACCAGCACTGTGAGCAGGATGGTCACATACAGCCTGGTCATCCGCATCGGCCGGGAACCACATAGGAATCTGAGGAGCAGGGTCAGGCTGGAGCCACAGAGAACCACAAACAAAACAGTCAGCCACGTAGCTCCTGTGATTTGAGCTGTCTGACACACATCATGGTCAAACCCGTACAGAAATCCACAGAAGAGATTCACGGTGCTCACCAGCAGGGCCATGGCCCAGAGCAGGCCACACACAACAGTTGACGTGTCTCTCGAGCGGCAGCAGCGGTACCAGATGGGCCACAGGACGGACATGCAGCGCTCGGTGCTGATGGCGCTCAGCATGCTCAGCCCTGCCAGGTAGGAAAAAACCAACACATAGATGAAGATCATATAGATGATGAGGGGATACCAGACTAAGTTAATGAGTATATACATGGATTCTATCATCAGGAAGCAGAGGTAGATGAAGTCAGCCACGGCCAGGTTGAGGATGTAGACGGAGAAGGCGTTCCTGCGCATGCGGACGCCCAGCAGCCAGAGCACAATGCCGTTTCCCACCAGCCCCACGGGGGCAATGAGGGCGGTCAGCCAAGCTAAGATCCGAGTGGCCAATTCACAAGGTCCAGAATAGGTCTCATAATGTGTTTCCCCTGCTGTGAATTCAGTGCTCCAGGCTGGGGGAGTTGACTCCATGCTCAGAAACTCTGAACCTGTGCCCCTGGGAACACAAATAAGACATGAGCAATAATTATATGATCTCTGATGGAAACGACCAACCTGCAATGTGTGAATGACTGTGCCCATTTTATAGAAGAGGCAAACAGAGGCACATAGGGAATAAATAACCAATGAGAAAGTGAGGTGTCCTCAAACCTGGGTGCAAACACAGTTTAAATCTTACCTTGTGCTTTCATTCTTTGCCTCAAGCTACAGCCAGATTAAGCCAATCTTCATTTTTAAAAGTGTCATTCTAATTAGATACTGGTTTAAATATTGAGAAAATGTCTTGAATATACTCTATCAGTGACTCTTTAATAAGGACTTTGTTATGGGCAGAATTTTGTCCCTGTAATAATCATATGTTGATATTCTAACTCCCAGTTAGTCGTAATCTTACTGTACAGTATGTGGACATGGGGACTTTAAAGAGGTAGTCAGGTATAAAGGAGGCTGTAAGCCTGGACCTTAATCTTGTGGGACTTGTGATCCTAGAGAAGAGGAGATTAGGACGTAGACACACAGAGGAAAGACCACGTGAAGACGGAGAGAGAGTAAGGCACCGTCCAACCTTGTCCAAACCTTCTTCTCAGACTCTAGTCTCTAGAGTTGTGAGAAAATAAATTTGTGTTGTTGAATCCACCCAGTCTGTGCTGCTGAGTTATGGCCGTCCTAGCAAACTAATAGAGACACAGTATGTACCTGCACTGTGTCAGGCATTTGAACTTCAGTGTGAATAACACTAGACCATAGTCTTTTGGAGCTTATCCTCAAGGGCTATGTGTAAAGTTAATAGAGACTGAAAAGGAAAGAGGTCTCAAGGCGTTTCCAGCTGTTAAGAGTCTGGAGAAATCCTAGTAAGCCATCCATAGAGAAACTGATCATTGGAGCAAGCATCCTAGAATCAGATAGAAATGCATATAGGAATTTAACATATGATAAAGGTTGCATGTGACAGTCATGGGTGAAACATGTAAAGGAGCAACTGTGGGGAAGGAGGGAAATCAGGAGGGTACAGTGTCCCAGGATCCCAAGCAATGGAGTCATTGGTCAGTAAAGAGTGTCAGTTACAGTTGAGCGGTCTAGCAAATGACCTTTGGCCTAGCAATGTGGAGTCATTGCTGATCTTGTCAAAGTGGTGGCAGAGGAAGAATGGCCCATGGACTAAGTAGAACAGATGTGGGAGAGAAGGGTAAGTGGTATGATGGGACTCCAGGACACTCAGACATCAACTGAAACAGGAACCCCGACAAGAAGACAGTGAAGGCACAAGGCTGCAGGACATGTTATTGGACAAATAGCCAACAGTAATAAAGTCAAAAAGGAAGGCATTTTTGGCATGGCATGAAATATAATACTGAAAATATTAAATATTGGGAAAATATTGGTAACATATCATACCCAAAGTGTTAACTTATTTTATTTATAAAAAGTTTCTGTAAAATGATTATTTAAAATTTAAAAATTCAATGAGAAAATGACTTAAGTCATGAATTCCTAATTTCTTGAAAATAAAAATGGCTCTTAAGCATATGGAAGGATAGGAAACCCAAGTTTAATAAAAGACATAAATTAAAATTACACAGAATTATATTTGACTTACTCCCACATAAAAGCCCAAGAGGTTTGATAGTGTGCTGTGTGGGCATGGTGTGGACTAGGAACTTTCACTCCTGTCTGGTGGGAGTGCAGATGTATACATCCTTCAGGGAAGGCAATTTGCAACATATGCAAACATACAAAGTATACTTTTCTCCCTGTAATTTCTTTCTTTCTTTTTTTTTTTTGCTGCAGCACAGAAGTATCCCTGTAATTTCTAACCTAAGAATTTATCCCAGAGATATACTTGTGTGTGTTCAAGGGAGATAAGTACAGAGTGAATGAATGTAGCATTACTTGCACTAAAAGGTTGTAACCAGCCAAAATGACCATGGATACTGTGTAAACTATGGTCCATTTATGGAATACTCTGTAGCTGTATGAAAAGAACAACAACCTGACATGAAAGGACCGCCAAGATTGGTTCAATAAAAATGATACAGACCAATGTGTATTTTATAATAGAGAGACTACATATGTATTTGTGCATATATATATATATGTGTGTGTGTGTGTATGCACACATATGTGTACAGTTGTTTCAGCATTAAACATGGTGGATGAAGGTGGAGACAGGATGGAAAAAGTTGGTGAATTTCTTCAGGGAACTGGGAACGTGGCTGCAGAGGACAGGAAATCAGGCCCGGTCAGGTCCGTGGTGTAGACGGAGAAGGTGTTCCTGCGCATGCGGAGTCCACGATCCAGAGTACAGTGTGCTCCCTGTCAGCCTGGCCAGGGTAATGGTGACTTGTCTAGCAAGTTCAAGATCAGGGTCACCACGTCATAGGCTAGTGGAGGATTCTTTTCTCTCCCATCAGTTGGCAGGAGTTCTGTCTCCAAAGCTGGGATGATTTGATCCATGCTCAGAAACCCTGCCCACTGGTACCCCTGGGAGCAGAAGGAGACTTGGGCACCGCTGTGTGATTTCTGAATCTCAACACCACCTGCTGTGTGGGCGTTACTGTCTCTGTCACAGAGGAGAGAAACAAAGGCTTGGAAAGAATAAGGAATTAATTGAAGGCTCGGGAATCCTGGGAGCTGGATCCAAGCACAGTTCTCACTGACTCTAAGGCCTGGGCTCGCTCTACTGCAACACCTGTCCTCTACTGATATGGGACTATTCTAAAGTGCAAACCCTCCTGTTCACTCTCCCAAACATGTCGGGGAGACTTGTCCGTAGCAAGCAGGAGGAGACCATCTGTGCAGGCCATCTGGGACAGCAACAGGCCTCTGAGCCCAGATTTCCTTCTGTCCTGGGAACATCAGTTTCCTCTCAGGGGCAGGAAGTGGAAGCCTCATGCATGACCCATGGGCTACTATTATGTGCAGTGGCCTTTTTTACCAGAGAGAAAGAAGACTATATTTAAAGACTTGAGAGAAAAGTGACTTCTTTTATGATAGGCCTCTTAAATGCCTCAGTGTGGGGATAGGGTGCACTTTTCTCTTGTCCATTGCTGTGCCCTAAATGCCAAGCTTGAAGTTGGGGACACAGTGGGTATTGTAAAAACCTGTAATCAACAAATGAATAAGTGAATGAATGGGTATCTAAGTGTAGTGGAAGACTTGGGTTAAATGTAAAATAAAAAATTAAAAAAAATTAAAGTTACTAGAAAGTACACATGTATAGCGACAAAGATAGTTTCATTCATCTTTTTCCCCTTTATGGGAAGCTCTGTCATGTTCGAAATAATTATGTACTGTATTCATAGTAGTTTTTATATAATAATTTTATAACTGTTCTGTGCATAGTAGCTATTATATAATAGGTGACTAATTATAGTATGTATTACAGCCAACTAATGATGGCCAAGGCCATGCCTCCAAATCAGCGAGGGCCTGTAGTACCTAATGGAATTTAAGTATACAGTTTAAGGGGAGGATTCACTGGTGAAGTGAAATGTTCTTCATTTAGGGGAGAATAGGCCCTTACACTAAGGCTGGTAAAGTTTCTAAAAGAGAGAGAGGTGGCAGTGCAGCTGAATAGAGGTATTTGAAGTGGAGAACGATAAGGAAGATTACTAAGTGGTTTTACTTGGATGTATTAATATAATAAGCGAATCCATTGTCTACCACACATGATTTTGATTAGAATTTTCTTTGTTGAATAATGTATTTGAAAAATTGATAAGATATATAATGTAAAATTTGCCATTTTAACTATTTTTAAGTGTCTGACTTGGTGGCATTAATTACATTCACATTTCGTGTAACCATCGACACTATGTATTTCCAAAGCTTTTTACCCACCAAAGAGAAACTCTGTACCCATTAAACATTAATTCCATTAATTCCCTACATTCCTCCCTTCCCCTAACTCCTAGAACCCCCTAATCTATTTTCTGCCTCTGAATCTTGCTAGTCTAGATATTTCATGTAAGTGGAAACATACATTATTTGTCCTTTCTGTCTGACTTACTTCACCTCGCATAATATTTTTCATATTTCTTCCGCATTATAGCACATATCAGACTTCATTCCTTCTTATGGCTGAAGAATATTCCATTGTATGTGGAGACCTCCCACGTGGAACTCGGGAACCTGCAGCCTTGAGGCCACACGTGGCCTTCTGGATTCTTGAGTGCAGCCTTTTGACTGAATCCAAACTTGATAAAACAAACCCTTGTAATAAAGACATTTGTTCTGTGAAGTTTAGATTTGGTTGAGGGGCCGCACTTGGGGATCTGGAGGGCCTTGTGTGGCCTTGAGGCCACAGGTTCTCCACCCTACCTGAACACTTTTTTAGTTACACTTTTCAGCTATCATGAATGATACTGTCAAGAACATTTGTGTGCAAGTTTTTGTATGGAGATATGATTTCAATTATTTTGGGTATATATTTAGAAGTAGAACTCCTTATGGGTCATATGGTAATTCTATATTTAGCTTTCTGAATAACCTCCCAACTAATTTCCATAGCAGCTGCATACCATTTTACATTCCTAAGAGAGGTGTATGATGGTTCCAATTTCTCTACTCCTCTGTTTTTTTGGATGTTGTTTTTGATACCTCAGCTAGCAAGTATGAAGTGTACTTTTGATTTGTATTTCCCTAAAGATTAAAGACATTGATCATCTTTTCATATGCTTGCTTTTTCTTTGTAGATTTTCTTTGGGGCAATGTGTACTTGAGTCCTTTGCCTGTTTATGTGGGCAAAGGTGAGCTTGTAGGCCCTACTCCGCCATTTAACTGATCTTATTCCATGAATAATCATTTATATAAGAGACTTTAAGGGATATTTTTAAAAAAGAATAGATCTGTGGAAATTATTTATCATGTCTAAACTGAAACTTTGTACACTTTTACCAACATCTCGTCATTCCCTCCTCCCAGTTTCCAGCCTCTGGTAACCACCATTCTACTCTCTACACATTTGACTTTTTTAGATTCTACATATAGGTGACATGATACTGTATTTGTTTTTCTGTGCATGGTGTATTTCACTTAGCACAGTGTCCTCCAGGTCCATCCACGTTGTTGCTAATGAAGGAATTCCTCCTTTTTAAAGGCTCAATAGTATCCCATTATATGTAACATTTTCTGTGTCCATTTTGCATTGATGAACACTGAGGGTGATTCCTTATCTGGACTATTCTGAATAGTGCCACAATGAACATGGGAGTGCAGACATCTCTTGGACGTACTGACTTCATTTCTTCTGTATAGGTACCCAGAAGTGGGATTGCTGGATCCTATGATAGGTTTTTTGTTTTGTTTTTTGAGAAACCTCTGCACTCTCTTCCATAATAGCTGTACTAATTTACATTCTTACCAACAACGTACTCCTGGATTGTGCATGTAATAGAAGGAGTGTGACCTCCTCTGTGCCTTCTCTCATTCTGCTCTGGCTAGAATGCTGATGTGGCAAGAAGTGTCAAGGTGATCAGGACTTTTAGGAATGGGGATAGCAAGTGGGAAGGCTCCCTCATGTCTAAAACCTTGGAGCCACAATTTGTTACATCATTTCAGGGCAAATTAAATTCTCTCTTATCACTGTTTTAACAAGTTTCTATTACAGTAGCCATAATTAAAATTTAGCTGATAAACTAAAAGGGGCTATAATAAGAATATTTTTTCCCCTTCCTAATACATTCATTTTCAAAGTATTTGTAATGATAGTGAGATTGTTCCCATTAAATTACACTAAAGAAATAAGGTGAAAAGACATAAAAATGAAAACACTTAGGAGGTATGATTACAAATTGAGCAATCACATAGAGATATGGAAAATTCCAGGAAATACAAACTCTGTGTTGTGTCCAAGAAGCTGATGGGTGTTTTCCATTTGCCATTAAGGCCTACTCTCCACTCTTCTCTACCTTGATTAGTGTCCCACTAGGATACATTTCCCTACTGTACCAATGGGCTCCTTTTCTCTGTGGCTCCTTGTTAATTTCAGTCAAAGGAAAACACTGACAAGATATTGGAGGGCAGCATGTGAGGGATGTGGAGGTTTCTGATCCATCTCCTGGCTCCCTCCTTGCTAGGCTGTGAATTGACAGCGGCAGTGTTGCTTTACCTGTTGGCATAGTCCCTGTCTGTTGGCGCTTTCCTACAGCTACAGCTACACCTACCGTCACAGCGACAGCTACAGTTACAGTACAGCCCTCTTTGAGTTCTGGTGACTGTTCTTTCCCTTTGCTTTTTAGGCCAGGTGTAGAAGTGAAAACTCCTTCCAATAATTTGCCTTTGGAGTGTTATCATCTCTTATAATAGTGCTTTACCTGCCCATCTTTTTAAATAGTGTTTTAATTAAACTCTCTTCAGTGATTTTAGTTTAGGCCATGGATTTCAGGCTAGGGCATTGCCAGATACACACAAAGGAAAACATTTGGGAAAAAAGCAAGGAAATCAGTGAAATCTAGGTTATTAACAGCTCTTTAGCTTTAAGAAGCATGTGTGTGTCCCAATTTGTTTCCCAAATTAAGGACAACAGCGGATTCCTCAGCATGATAGCATGTTAGTACAGTTGGGATGACAAAGAGAATATTGTGACAGTAAAGAGGAAGAGCCCCAGGTGACAGCACTCAGATCTCCCCCAGTGAAGCCTGCCAGCCCCCAAAGTGGCCAAGAGGGAGCTTCATGTCTCCTGTGTTTCCTGCTGGAGCCTCTGTGGCTCCCTGCATGCTCTTCTCCCAGGGCAGTTATGTGAATGTGGACTAAGAGGAAAAGCACAGCAACGCCTTTCGAAATAAGTTCACCATAAGATCTAGCTTTTTTCCCCATCATTTTTGCTGCTGGAAGTGGAAGCTGACCTGTGCTTAAGGAGGTGGCAAACTGGGCCCTACGTTGATAGCTTCTAGAGGGCGCTACTCTGCCCTGGAGTGGTGCCTGCAGCAGGTGGCAGAAGCCTGTGCCTGAGTGAGGCTTATCAAAATGCTGCAGGGCCCTGTGATTTCCTGTACAGGGACCTGCTGGCCAATGAGAGTGTCGAATTGTTTGAGTAATGACCTGTCACGAGATGTTCTTCCACATTTGGTCTCACTCTGCTCTTATCTCTCAACCTCTGCTCATCCCGACTCCCATCCAGTCCCTGTCCCTGTACATGATTGTCGTTTTGGAGCCTTTTGCTGCCAACTGTGTGCAGGAGCAGCCATGCTAAGCAACGTGAGCCTGTGCTGGGAGGCTTTGTAACTAAGAAACAAGCACACCCTCCTCAGTGTTCTTCAGCGACCTCATTGGCCTATCCTATCCTCCCATTCCCACCCCCCCTGCTTTTCTTTTTTTAATCAAAGTAATAATGTGTGCATGTTTACAATTTCTTTCTAAAAGGCATGGAAGTGTATCAAATGAAAGGTGAAAGTCTTCCTGAATTCTGTTCTCTGGAAGCAACAACTTGTTTAGTTTTTGTTCTTCAATCTTTCATTAGTTATGGATATATAGCTTTGCACAGTAAATTTTTATTACTATTTTAAAAAGTTTATTTATGTTAACAGCTGTACAAATTGACCCCTCTTATGAGATGTAAAGAAGTCAGCCTTCGTACCAGCCGACACTCAGCTCT